ACCCCCCCCGAGCTCGCCCTAGGTCTGTGTGCATTTTTAATTTTTTTTTTTACGGAAAATGTTTCGTGTCCCCAGTCATCTCAGTCGAATCAATACCAAATCCATGAGTCATTCCAGCACCACGTGTGGCCCTGCTCCCGGCACGCATCCTCCACCCTTGCCTGGGGTGTCAGATCTTTCCAGATCCTTTGGCCAGCATCCTACGTGCAAGTCCAAGCCTAGAGGTTTGGGGGTTGGATGCCTCCGAGTTTTGCTTGCCCTCGGTCATACGGCCGCGGGAACAAGCGAGGGAGCAGTCTCCCGTTTCCATAAAGTCGGCGTGTAGCCAAGGTCCTCCCGCTGGACGTCAGAGTGGGGGGGACCTATGCATTGCCTTAGTCAGGCTGCTGCCCCTGCCAGTGGGAAACCCACCTTGATGATCACGGTATCATATGCCCAGCTGCGCATGGAAAGGCCTCTGCACCCCTGAGTTCGTGTTTTCTGCCCTTTGCAGATTTGGCAGCCCCCGGGAAGAAGGAGGATTCGGAAGAGGAGAGCGAGCGCCTGTATCGGCAGAGCCATGCCTACGTGGAGATGAACCAGTGGCTGCAGAAGGCCCGCAGCCTGCTGAAGGAGAAGTGCGAGGAGCTGAGGCAGGCAGGGGAGACTCTGGAGCAGAACGTCCTGGAGATGAAGCAGAAGGCCGTCTGAGGGAGTCTGCCCTGCAGAGCCAGCTCAGGCATTCGTGCGCTTGGGGGTAGCCCCGGGTTTTTAAGCACAGCTCCATACCCTGAAGCGGTTGTCAGCGTGTGCTAGACTGCAGCCAAGGTCTTTGGCGTTGTCCCTTATGTCCGTAGTTAAATTATAGGGTCGGAAAGCTGCCTGTGTGGGTGCGCTGGGCATTGCAGCGTCGTCCCTGGACTCTCCAGGCCTTGAGAAGGCAGCTTTTCAGGAGTGTCCCTCCCATAGTGGCTGGAAATGCTGGGGGCGGTGGGTGGGGAGCGGTGACAGGACTTGCCTGGGGAGGTCTTTGCCAATGGGCTGCCCCAGACTCGCTGCTCGGAGTGAAAGGGCCTCTTGGAACAGGCCCTTCCCGACTGCAGCCTCCTGCCAGGTTCCCAGACAGCAAACTGCAGCCTGACCTGGCTGGGATAGCAGCCATGAGTGCCTCGGCATTGCCACAGCTGCCCGGGGTGATCATTGACATGAAGACCCTCTCGCACCCTCGCTTCACCTATGACTTCTCCATCTGGTACTGCCCCGATGACGACGACGTGGCCTCCCGCATCTCCGAGACCCTGATGGAGCACGGCTTCCGGGGCTACGTGGAGCACCAGGACCAAGTGGCTGGGACATCGGTGGCCTTGAAAGCCACCGAGGTCATCGAGGCCAGTCGGGTCACCATCATCGTCCTCTCGGCCCGGTCGCTGCATGACCCCTGGTGCCAGCAGGTCCTGGAGTGGAACCTGCATCACGTGATCGAGCAGGAAGGCACAAAGATGATCCCAGTGTACGTGGACGTAAAGAAACACCAGGTGCCTCTGGTTTTAAGGCACCTTAACGAACTGGACTACCGCAGCGCCTTCTTCCAGCAGAAGCTCCTGGACGGTTTGCGGAGAGCGAAGGCATCATCAGGCACAGCCAGGACTGCAGTGCCCTCCAAGGTGTCCAAAGCAAAGAGCAGTGTCGGCCTTTAGGGGCTGGAGAGACCCGGCTTTGTGGTGCAGCCCCATTCCTTGGGCATCCCGGCTTCGGTAGAGGCCTTGCTGTGGGGATGAGTAGGGAAGGACGCCGGGGGCTATTCTGAGCTCCACCAGGACGTTTAGCAAGCACACTGTGGTTGAGGGTGAAAATGGGTCATTGAGTGCGCGGGGGGCAGTCGGGCCCAGGGCCATGGTGTCATGCCTCTCAATAAGGAAGCTGTTACTAAAATGCAGTTCTCCAGAAACCGCCTCCCGCTTGCAAGTTCTTTAAGGCAGAGGTTTTGGGGGCGGGGGGTGAGGAATCGATGAGCGGGGCTGGATAAGGGATGGGGAAGTTGCTACCAGTGCCACCCCTTCAGGTGTGCAGAAGCCCTGGGGGGAGAAGGGTGGTGTCTCCACCCTGCCAGCAACCCACTTCTCACTGGGTCAGAGCAGTGCTGCCCCAAAAAGGCTCCTTTGCCTTTCCTTCCTCTGCAGGGGGGCCCTTGGCTGCTGCTTTTCAGCCAGGCCACACATCTCCTCCCCCCCAGCCCTGTGCAGCAGGTGCCGCTTTCACACCCTTCAGATTTCCACACCCTAAACTCTCATCTTCCACCAATTTCACCCCCATGTCTCGGAGCCTTTGTGGGAGGAAGTACGAGCTGGGGGGAGGTGGGCAAGAGCACTGAGGCCACAGCTCAGTCAGACGCAGCTCGGCAGCATCATGAAGGCGGCTGTGAGCTTGGTCCTGCTGTCGTTCCTGCTTCTCTACCCCGGGGAGGCTGGTGAGTGGACTGTGGTGGGGAGAACCCAGGGATGAGGGCCCTGGCCTGGGCATCAGGAGAGCCAGGGTCCATCCCCGCTGCTTGCATTCGCTCACTTGGCTCCGGGATGCTGCTGTGGCCAATCCAGGCCCTCAGTAAAGGATTGTGCGGCTGGTGGGTGCTGGGGCGGCCGTGGGGATCTCAGCCCCGCGAGGGGTGGGCTGCCCGCAAGCCTGGGGTCCTGCACCCCTTGCTGTGTCTTTGCAGCTGGCCGGCTCCAGTCGTGGATCATTGGGGGCAAGGAAGCCAAGCCGCACTCCAGGCCCTACATGGTGTCTCTCCAAAAAAATGGCATGCACATGTGTGGGGGGGCCCTGGTGCACACGCGCTGGGTGCTGACCGCTGCTCACTGCCAGCTGCCACGGTGAGGCTCCAGGGAAGGGGAAGGATTCAGCCGGGGGCTCGTCCGCCACGTGCAGGGGACTCGGACGTTGTCTCCTGCCCTTGGCACTCCAGGGCAGTGAGAGTGCATCTTGGAAAGGCGGTGTGGGCTTCCTCCTGGGGGGAGCATTGGTGGGGGCGGCAGTTGGCATGGAGGTCCCTGGTGCGAGGGAGCTTTGCTTCTGTGCCCCAGGAACAGGGGGCCCTTGAAGGCCGTGGTGGGGCTGCACAGCCTGGACGAGGCCTCTCCCTACCAGCAGAGCTTCAGCATCACCAGGTCCGTCCCGCACCCCGGCTACAAGCAGAAGACGATGGAGAACGACCTCATGCTGCTGAAGGTGCCTGGACCTGTAGCTGCGAGCGCCTGGAGAGCCGTGGGGCTGGGGGGGGAGGAGGGTGTCTCCTTGCCACGTGCATCGCTCTGCTCCCCTGCCTCAGTTTCCCCAGCTGGGGCTCACCCATGAGAGGCAGGGCTGGGAGGGACCCGGGGAGGTTATCCAGGCCAGCATTGCACTCGAGCTTGGATGGGAAAAGCCACGTTAGCACGGGTGAAGGCAAACAGGGCGTTTAGTGTCTCCGGGAGGGGCTGCGTGGGGTGGGCAGGGGGGCTGGGGTGAGGGGGCAGCTCTCTGCAGCTCAGAGCAGGCCAGGATGTTGTGGCTTCCCCACCCCAACCCCGAGTCATTTCCTGCTACTCGTTTCCACACCATGATACCATGTGAGCTCTTCCTCGTGCAAAGCCGTGAACCTGCAGTTGCAAGCCCCGTGGCACTGCAGAGCAGGGAGGACAGGGCTGTATTGCATCATGCAAGGTGGCGGGGGGCACAACCTGCGGGGTAGCGTGGATGGGTGCTCCAAGTTTCCAGGTGCACGTATAAATGCAGCCCCGGTGGGCGGTGGAGCTGCCCCATGCTGGGAGGAGGCTTTGGGGCAGGGCTGGGGGTTTGCTACCCCTTGCCCTTTGCTAACACTCGCTGAGCCTGGCCAGGCGGGATGCCACGAAGCTCCCGTATCTACCCCGCGTCTGTGCCTCTGTGTGGGGCAGAGCCACCCCTCTCCTCACCCGAGCCCTGGGGCCATCGGGGCTGCAGCATGAACGGCTCAAAGAGACCCCAGTGCATGCCCGGACTCAGGGCCTCTCCCACGTGGCACCTGACCAGGCCTCTCTCCCCTGCCCACAGCTGGACAGGAAGGTGAAGACGAACCGGCAGACGAAGCTCCTCGCGCTGCCCAAGAAGGCGCAGGGCGCTGGGGCATGGTGCAGCGTGGCTGGCTGGGGGGTGACCAAGCAGCATGGCAAGCTCTCCCCCGTGCTGAAGGAGCTGGACGTCCGCGTGCTGGACGGGCGCATGTGCAACAGCAGCCGGTTCTGGCACGGCGAGCTGACCCCCACCATGACCTGCTACCAGGCTGTTGTTAAACACTCGGCCCCTTGCAAGGTGATGATGGATGGGACCTGATGGGCTTGTGGGGGGGCAGTGCAGAGCTCCCCCCGACACAGCGAAGTTTGCGGGTTCGCTGCCCTGGTACCCTGATGTTTTAGTGGCTTGGAGCCTTCTTCACAGGCGGGGAGAGGTGATGGGGAGCTCAAGCAGGGGCACCCCCCCAAGACCCCCAAATGCAGCCTGGATTGAGGGTGTCCCTTTGGGCTGCTGCTGTCTGGACAGCTTCATGCCACCCCTGCTTGCTGGGTTCAACCCCAGGGCTTTGCTTCTCCCTGGCGCGCTCAGGAGCTGCAGGTAGGAGTGTGGGGGCTCCGGTGTCAGGTAGAGCTGGGTCTCTGGGCTGCACTGCACTCCCCGAAGCAGAGGCTAAGGATGGGGCAGGCAACAAGCCTGAGTGGCCTTCCTGCCCCAGGCTGGGGCAGTGTTGTGGGTTGTGCCCAGCGAGGGCAACATGCCCCACATCCTCTTCTGCACCCCCCTTCTGCCAGGGGGTGCTGCCCCTGCCCCTTCCAGCTCATCACCTGCCTCCCGCACCCTTGCAGGGGGACTCTGGGGGCCCCACGGTGTGTGGGAAGAAGGCGGAGGCAGCCGGCGTGATATCCTTCTCGGGTGACAGCTGCACCAACGTGTTCAGGCCGCCTGTCGCCACAGCGGTCTTCCCCTACAAGGCCTGGATCAAGAAGGTCCTGAAGAGCTAGTAACCCTGCCGGAGGCTTCGTCTGCTGCAGCCCCGGCAGGGAGCAGAGCTCAGGCCTGTGGCTCCTGGCAGGAGGTGATTTTGGGTTGGGTGGAGGGTTACATCATGGGGGGGGGAGTGTGTATGTGAGCATGAGCACACACATGTGTGTCTGTGCGTGCATGCATGTCTGTGTGTGTGTGGGCACATGCAAGTTTACACACGTGTATGCATGTGTGTGTCTGTGCATGTGTATGCATGGGTGTGTGTGTATGCATGGGTGTGGGTGTATTCATGGGCACGTGTGTGTGCATGCATGTGTGCGTGGGTATATGCCAGGGGCAGGCTATTATTTCGGGCGGAGGGACACTTACCGAGTTTTGGCAAGGTATCGAGGGTCACATGGGTAGCCCCGCCCCTTCACAAGTGTCCCACCCCCTGGTTGTCATCTTGGGACTAGAAGTCCCTCCCCTTGCCCCTGGTGGTACTCCTTTCAGTAAGGGGTTTTGTTATCCTGGAACCAGAAAAATACCGAATTATATTCTCAAAATCCAACCTCTACAATGTTCATTAATTTGATTTCAAAAAATATTTTTGTCCTGCTTTACACCTGTTTGTGTAGCGCACGTAGAAGTGATCGTATAATAGCTGAAAATGAAGTCTTAGTCTTGTGTATTGTGGGGGGAAGGGGCATGGGGGGTTTGGTATAGGTTTGTGGGGGTGGGGGGGTGTGCGTGCGAGGGAGGGTTTGTGCAGGGGTGGATAGGTGTGGGTGTGGAGTGAGGGTGCATGTGGGTGTGGGGTTTGTGGGGGGAGGCTGTGTGAGGGGGTGCGGGGGTTTGCATGCATGGCAGTGCATATGTATGGTGGGGATTTGTGTGTGGGACTCACTCTACAAACACACACACACACACACACACACACACACACACAGTGTGCCTTTCTCTGTGCACACACAAAGTGTGCCTGTCGTTGCACACACACAAACACACTCACTCTCTCTCTCCTCTTCCCTCATTGCATGGACACCCACTCCTGCCCCTGGCTGGCCCCGGTACCCGCAGCTGCATGCAGGGAAGCAGTGAAAGCTGGGGTAGGCAGGGACATCCAGGAGTGGGGGGCTGGGGCAGGGCCTTGCTGCCTGGCTGGAGAGTCCTCCTGGCTTCCCTTGGGTCCTACTGCCCAGGCTCCTGTCATCTTTGACAGACAGCCAGGAGCAGGAAAATATTAATTTTCTAAATGTCTTAGGAGCCCCGCGGTCCAGATAGAATGGCTGGTGGGCTGGATCCGGCCCATGGGCCATATTTTGCCCACACCTGGACTAGGGACTGGAAGAGGTCGTGCTGCAGGTGCAGCTATGTGTGGTTGTGAACCAGCACCGGGCAGGGGCCCTGCCAGGAGGGCAGAGGAGCTCGTGTGCAGACCCCGGGTGGCAAGCATCGCCCCCCTGGGCTCAGCGGTCCCCCAACACCCGGAGCAAGGCTCTGCCCCCCAGCCCAGGGCAGAGAAGGGTGTCCCACAGCGGGGGTCACTGGTTCGCCCCTCGCACAGCTCCTACGCCTTCACACGGTGCAGCCTTGCTGGGGTGGTGAGCAGTCTCCTGGGCACAGCGTTGGGACCTGCCCCCCACCAAGGACAGCAGGCCAGGGTGCTGGTCCGGGTTTGGCCCAGAGCCCGGCCAGCTCGTGGCTCTTTGCCTTTTGGGGCCCCAGAGGCAGCTCTGCAGCTGGACCTTGGTCTGAGCCAGGCCCCGGGGAGGGTATTTGAGCGGGCGGCCTGCCCTGGGTCCCCACATCTCATGCTCTGCAGGACACGGCTGTTCGGCTCCCCGAGGGCAGCCCGAGCTGCTGCTGCCCCCAAACCCAGGTCTCACCCAGAGCCGCGGAGCTGGGAAGCATGGGTTGGGGGTCTGGACTCCCTTGTGGCTGGGGGCCCCTGAGCCCCCTTCTCTACACCCCCTTGGCTGGGCTGGTGCAGGCGCTGGGACCCGCAGCGGTCCCTGCTGAGCAGCCAGAGAAGACCAATGCCTGCAGCCCGGGGGGACGTGCCTGAAAGCATGGGGCCCTGGCCACGAGGCAGGCAGGTGCTGCAGCCCTCCTGGGGCTCCCTTTGCAGTGGATCCAGCGTGTGTCCGCATGGAAAGAGTCAAGGGGCCCGGAAGTGAGGGTCTGAGCTCCCCAGGTCCTGTGGTGCACGGTGCGGGTCCTCTCACTGCTGGTGCTGAGGTCCTGTGTTCTGGTCCTGGCTTCTCCCTGTTTTTTACTGACCTGGTGACAGACCCGGCTCCACTTTGCAGCTCAGACAATGTCTGGGTGAGCTGGAAGAGAAGCGGGGTGCACCGCTGCTGTGCGCCAGAGCTGCGGCGTCAAAGCTGATCCCCTAACCCCA